AGTGGGATAAAGGGAGGTAGAGGCAAGAAACCACTCAGCCAAACTGGGTATGTGATGGCCTGAGCATGCCAGCCCAGGGCTTCTGTGAGCAAAGCTGCTCTCAAATGGGCAGCACAGACAGCCCTGAGCCATGGCAGCAGCCAGACTACCTTCAGACACCACTGCTTGTTCACCAAGAAATAACAGTGCCTCTGAGTTGAGAGATCAGATATACCTGGTTAGACTCTGCCCTGGCGAATTCAGAGCTGCAGTTACTTGAATACACACTGGAGAACCAGATTATAACCTAATAAAGTTGCAGTTAAATTGCACTGCCTTTACATTAAAGGTCAATCCAATTCCTTCTAAAGTGGACCTCAGACTTCCTGATGGGCCCTGCACATCACAGAATCATACATAGAATCACAGGATGGTTTGGGTTGTAAAGGATTTTAAATCTCATCCAGTTCCAACCCCCTGCCACTGGAATAGCTTTAAAGTCCCTTCCAACCCAAACCGTTCTGTGATTCTAAGTGCAGGTCACTATAAGCCTGATCAGACTATTGATAAGTTTCAGCAACTCCAATTGCATGGTTACAAAGTTAAATTGTTTGGAAGTGTTTAACAAGTAGTGAAAGGGTTTGCCTTCTAAACTCAAGGGCAAGCTTTGACCTGAGAAAACCTCTATAAGCTTGTGGTGGGAAACTGCTCTAAGTGGTTTAGTACTATATTTAAATCTGCATTTTATCTCTTCCTGATTGCACTGGCGGCCATGGGTCAGCCTCAGAGTTTGCTTGACCTAAGAAGCGATAGGCAGGTTCAAAGGCGTATATTGCTGGTTTAAAAATGTATATACGTACATGTACATGAAAGCAGGGTTGTAATCAGTGCTCTGCCTCTTTTGCTCTACGTAATATAATGTAAAAGACCTGTTCCATTTTGCATTTTAGACTCTTTTTTCACTCATTTTTGCTTCCAGAGACCTTATCAGGAGCGATTTGTTTGTTTAAGTGACTTAAATATTTCTCTTTGTTAACCCTTCCTGTCCTGTGTTCAAACCACATACATACATTTTGGTTGTGCTGTTTTTAATGTTCAGGTGTCCTTTTTGCTTGCTCGGGGCTTGTTTTTATCACATTACAACCCTTAGTTTTATGTAACCCATGTGTGCAGCTTGTGAGTGATGATGCTCTGGGCCTTATGTATTTATTTCAGTTTGGTTTATGGTCATTCTCCTTTGGGCAGTTGAAAAGCATACATGCTGTTGGCTGGACCACCATCTCTAAGCTATGAACAGTGCAGGGTATGGGCTACTATAATCCAGTTGTGAAGGCAGGGTGTCTGTGTTACAGGTTGAAAGAGGAGGATGAAGGTGGTGTTGGTTGGAGTAACAAGCCGTTCGCTTCTGGAATCTTTTCTTTTGCAGATGGTTTCTGTTAGTGAACTCTCACCTTGATAAAGGGATGCATTTCAGATGCATTACTGTATCGCAATCACATGGGGATAGCAGTCTTGTGCATGACTGCTGCCCAGAATAAGCTTTCATCTGGAGTGTTCCACGGGGTTTGCATGGTAGTAACAGGGTCAGGAAGGGATGAGTGACAGTGACTCCTTGGGGCGGAGGAAGACAGAGGAGAAACAACAGCAGCAAAGCATTTGCGGCTCAGGACAAGGAGTCCGGGAGGTCTGCCCTGCCTCAGGGCACACCTGAAATCACAAACAGTTTTGTTTATTAATGTTATCCACTGGGCTGCTGTCTTTCTGCACTGGTTACTCACTACAGGGCTTAGGTGCTGCCAGGGAAATATAACAAACACAAAAGCATTTATTTACTTATCCTCTCCCCTCCCTCCCCACCTTTTTATCCACTGCATTTAAGGAGAGGCTCTAGGGCTCTCTGTTCCTGCCTTCTGTTGTCTATCTATATGTGACCCATCACCGGGCTCCCAATCCTCTCTGAGACACCAGACCCACTCCCTAGCCCCAGAGGATGCAAAGACCAGCGCTTCATGCTTTGCATTCCAAGTAATACATGTTTTCTTTGCATGCTTGTCTTCAGAAGATCTGGAAAACAAAAAGGTCCTTTCCAGCCTCAACCATTCTATGCTATGCTTCTGTATTTGTGAAACATAGTGTCTGAGCTTCACTTTGAAACCTATGATTTTTTTTAAGTACTGTATGTTAACAAGAAGTTTGCATTTACAACTTTGGTGTATGTCCCACCCACGGTGATGGTGCAGAGCATCTGGGTTTCTTTTCTTCTCCTTGCTGCCAGGGATGCATTGCTGTACAGGTGATATCAATGTAATAGGTAAGAAACATTTGTTAGGATTATTTGCCTGCTTCATTTAAATGCATCATTTATTACAGGTATTCTTTGACAGCTGAGTGTGTTTTGAAGAGGTTACGCAATCACTTGAGGGACAGATGCTCCCTTCTCAATGTGAGATTAAACTTTTGCAGTGGAATGTACACATTTGAAAAAGGGGTATAAACTTAATCCTTCTTTCTTTGCAAATTCCCAGACTTGCAGCCATCTAAAATGCATGAGGATGGGAGGAAGCTCCAATCCTTCTTTTTTTTTTTTAATGCAGGAAGCTTGCCTATTCCTTCACAGCATGGGCTGCATCCTAAAACAAAACCTGCCTCCAGTTGTTGCCTGGCTTATGTGGACCCAGGCCTCCTCCCATGAAAACAGTGCCTTGGGGAAAAGTGCAACAAAACTCTCAAGTAAAACAATCATTGTGAAAATGGGAATAGCTTTCTATATTTCTTTGGAGTCCAATGGGGTGTGAGAAGCTCAGTCGCACTGACAAAGCAAATTCTATGCCAATGGTTGCAGGTTCAGCTGAGTGCCCTTGGTGCTAATATACATGATTTTGTCGTAATCTTGTTTGAGTTGTCTGTTTCTGTAGCCAAAAGCCAAGTGTGAGCTCTTGTGCAATGGTCGGGCAGAGCTTTCGTCCTGAGTCCTTGATTTTAGAACGGGGGAAAAGGTTCTAAAGGGTACAAACCCCTCACTTGTTTGATCAAACTCGTCTTCACAAAGTGCTGACACCACTGTCTAGCAGGAAGGTAGATGAAATGCGTTAGAAACATACCATAAACGTGAGTATCCACATTTATTTTGTTTTCCATTTGTATTGCTGGGCACTGCAATGGGGAAATTAGTAACTTCTTAAAGCATGTTACAGTTATAATTTTGTAAGAGTTTTTAGTTGGCAAACAAGTAAAGAATGGATGAAACACTAAAATTCAAATTAGAGAATTCTTTCCTCAGCTGAGTTCTCTGGTTTTGCTCTGTCAGTATTTTACACAGTAAACATGTAGAGTAATAAAAGTGCTCCTAAAAAAATACTCAGATGTCATGGAATATTTAGGTATTCCAATTATTTAGGGAGATTTAGATTCTATTTCAACAATTCCATTATGTAATGAATCAGTTCTTAGGTAGCCATCTTTATGAGGTTTTCACAAAGGTCTGGCTTGTGTAAAGATAACTCCAACTCCCCTGTGTGTATTAATTCATCCAACAGGATTCTAAGCTCAGGATTTTGGGAAGGCTTCTTTGGAAATAACTCCTGTCAGAAGAATGACATCATCTTGTCTACAGATTTGTTCCTTGCTGCTGGCTTTAGCAGGATTCACCATTTTACTTGTTACTACCATGTCCAACAGATGGAAGGTTTCAGACATTGGAACAGTGCTAGTTACTACAGACTGGATTTCTGAAGGCCTTTGGATGGACTGCGCAGTGACTGCTGTTAGATCACTTCAGTGCAAGAAATTTCTCTACATGTTGAGTTCAGACAGTAAGTCTGCATGGCATATGTAGATAAAATCCAGGAATGATGTAATTCTATTTCTTCCTTCTGGCCAGCATGCTAGAGTGGTGGGGCAGCATATACTGCAGTGGTCACAGAGGGTCTGGTATGGACAGGATTTCTCCTGTAGTACCTGCAGACAGGTTAAAGGGCCCCAGTGAAATTTATAGGCTTCATGCTGTAATTCAGCTCAGTAACTGATGTGGCTTTACTGCCATCTCTGTTGTGTGCACATAGGTACACAATGAATCTAAGATGATTTTATTTATTCATTATGATAATTATTTATTTTTTATCTATTATTATTATTTTGGAACAACTAGCATGCTTTTACTTGGCCTAATGCTTAACTAAAAACAGATCATAGGTCAACGAACACTGGTGCTTTTTCGTGCCTTGGTGTGAGTCTGAACTTCTTATATGTTCCAGAACTTATTTGATACTTGGTGCTGAATCTGTTTTTGTTCTGGGATTTCTCAGAAGTGGCCAGTTTAAACTAAACCACGTCTGTGCCACTGATTCTTCGGGTTTTTCTGAGATAGGCTGTGCTAGCAGGGTAGTTTACAAGCAAATAGAAGGAGATTTGTCTTTACAGGGACTTAAAATTATCTCTTTAGGTTGTTCTAGATGTAAAAAATATCTTTCTGTGAACACTACTGTTATAGTAAAGGGCCAGGAAGGACTGACACTGAAGTCCTTTCCTCGGAAAACTGAGTGCTGGCACAGTCACAGTAAAAACCTTTAAAACCTGGTGTTTTCTTAAGCTTTGTGCTCAAAACAACTCTGTGTTTATTCTTTTACAACTTTCAGTGTCGTGCAGTCACTCTATGAGTTGTATCATGGAATCATTTCTTCAAGCTTTCCTTGCTTTATAGGTCCTTGATTACTGTCATTGCTGTTTGGACTCTGTCCAGCTGACTTAGTCTCTATGTGCAGAGCTCAAAACTTGTAAATTCCACCTCTCACAGGTTATGAACACTTGTTTTTCTTGACATAAACATGGACTCCACTGAAGTCAGAGCTGCCTATGGCAGATCTCTCAAATGTGAGAGTTTAACTCTCAAGATTCAGCTTATTTTTTAACCTTCTTAAAAGCCAAAAATATATTTGGGATAATAGAAACCAGGAAGGTTTTCTAAAACCACATAACTAGGCAGTGATTCCTGTGCAAGAACATGCCGGTTCTTCAAATATGTTAACTGTCGCAGCAGGAGCCCAGAACTGATGCTTCCAAGTCACCAGAGAAGATCAGTTCTTACCACACGCCATCTAGTTTCTTTAATAGTTTGCAGCTGTAGAGCTGCACAGGATCACACTGGCTGTGCTTGCACAGCTGTTCTTATTTGTATCAACAGCAATGATCCTCTCGGTTGTCAAGGCTGCATGAACCCACCAGCCTACAGCATCAGCTCAAGCTGACCAGTGCGTTGTGGAAGAAACCTCATGTTTCTGTTACGGGCATGCTGTGACTCAGCGGCTAATTCTTGTGGTAGCCTTTATGTAAATGCTGTGAATCTCTTACCATGTTGCATCATAGCAGGATTATTTTATGAAGAAACTGTGACTCCATTTCCTGGAGATAAGAGCAGGTTATCACTGCAAGAGATGGTTAACCCCGTTTGGATACACAAACCGGTGAAGGTATTAACATCAGTGGGTGATGTGAAGTGAGTCTATGGGTTTGTTTAGTCAAGAAGCAAGTAGACCAAACTTAACATGCTTCTACTCTGCCTAGAACAGATACATTTTGTTTTAATATCACAATATTCTGACAAACAGATGCAAGCAGCTGACATTTATGACTTCTCAGCTAGCTGGTTTCCTTCATCATTTTATTCCTTTCGAGATGGGTCTGTCACAGTGGCTCATCTGTTCCCTTCTATTTCCTTTCTGTGAAATATATGATATTATTATAATTGTATTCCAGTGTAAGTGGGACTATCTTTAAGATGGAATGTGTTCAACTGTAGATCAACAGACTGTAAAATATTAATGGAAATCACTCACCCACAGACGTATCGTTCCTGAAAGAAGCTGGCAGTAGAGTTGCAATGGATCACTCATGACTGTAACTTCAAAAAAGAGTTTCTTTTGTTAAATTTTATAGCAACAGAATAAAGTTCCTGTTCTCAAGCGTTTTTTATGCTTGAGTCATCAACAATATAACAGAGTAAATTTTTTTGATTTGAGAGCAATAATAAAATGAAAAGCCATTTCAATCTTGTGTAAACCCTAGTTGACTCCAGAGGAGAAACAGAAATAAGGTATTTGCCAGTATTATCCCTGTTACAAGACATTTTGTAGAAATACTGACTGGGCTTTCAGGCTAAGGCAAGAATAGGCTCATTTTGTCACTTCTCATTAGAAAAAAAGAATGAATCTTGTCTTTTTTTTGTTAAATGCTAATAACTTTATCATGGACTGCTCCCACTTCTTATTGTCATGCACTGTAAGCCTTATCTGGGGTTGAGCAAAGAGCAAAGGTAGCCTCATTTTGGAGTGAAACCCAGAGATTAAACAGCAAGGAGGCTTCTGAAGGCTTCACTTGATCGTAATCTAATTATAGGGATATTTAACTGTTACTACTCACAAGGATGACTTCTGCGTTGGAAATTGTTAGTTTTCTTCTGTGCTTGGGTGGGTTGGCAACTATTGGAGCTACTTTGCCGAATAATTACTGGAAAGTCTCCAGTTTACATGGCAGTGTGATCACAACGACCACGTTGTTTGAAAACCTGTGGAAGAGCTGTGCACAAGACAGCATTGGAGTATCCAACTGCAGAGACTTTGACTCTCTGCTTGCATTGCCTGGTATGTGACTTTGTGCATTCTTGTTCATACGGCTTGCAAATTTGCTGGTAAAAAAGTATTAAGGCTTTTGATTGTTAAACTGGGAGTACTGGAGAATAACTGGCCAAGAAGGACTTGGTGGGTTGAAGTAATAAGAACCTCTTACACGTTGGAATGTGTCAGGCACATTGAGAATGGCTATAAAATAAGGCAAATGAAATCACTTGATCAAACATTTAAAATACGGTCTAATGTCTGTTCTAGCATCTTGTGGGAAGAACTACCAGGAGGCATCTTTTAACACGTCTTCTATGACAGTTCCGTGTTTATTTGGAATTATTGTATAGGGCTGCTTTTGCAGTACTTGATAGCTAATGTACTGTAGCTGGAGTTTTTGCATTTAAAAATTAGAGCTAAGAAGTGGTAGTGGGGTTTTGTGTGTTGAGACTGAAAATCATAGATAATGCAAGAAATACAATATGTTATAAATATAGTATAAGTTATGCAATGAGTGTATGTTATAAATTAATATACTTCAGGACTTGTTAACTAATGTCTTCTTGGATGTGTTTCTAAGTATCAGGATGTTTAGATCTGCTCTCCTGTATCAGTCTTCAGCAGAATTGTGGATGGTCCTCAAATGCTCAGCTAAAGCACTACTCCATGAATAGTAAGCATGTTTATAGGCAGGAAAGCTGGTTTTCACTAATCTTGAAAAACTAGGCGTGTAGATACTTATCCCAGAATAAAAACGCCTTTCTGCGTAGTTGAATTTACACTGGGAGGTAGCTAAACTAAATAGGTAGGAGGTTACTCATAATCTGAAGAGAGTGTAGTATAGGATTAGCAGGCAGAAGGTCTTAAATGAACTTTCCCTCTCAGTCTGAAATATAACTATGTTGCTGACCACCCCTGACACTACCACAGCAGTTCTCTGAAACTGTCTGTGTCCAATATTTAGGGAATAATCTGTTCTTTTCATCTTTCAGTGCTATCTAATAATTGGTTTTTAAATACCTGTGTGAATGAAGAGGAACATAACTCTATTTAAACTTCTTAGACTCAGAAACAGCAGGATCATGTCCTTACGTGAGCATTCATTTGGGTCATGTGTAAACCACTTCAAGGGCTGGTTCATAATTTACTGCTACTGATTCTAGGCAGCATCTTGTCTTTGATGTATTTACATGGGGTGTTGTCTCTGAGAGTGTCACAGAGCTCCTATCTGCAGATGTGGGCAATGGGGCCACACTGGGTCAGCATCTTGGAGTTGCTGAGGAAAAATGGAGGTGGGCAGTAGGATCAGCAAAGAGTACCGTAAGTGTGCTAAAGCAAAGGCAAACAACAGCAAGGCTCCTGGAGAACTGCAGCTAACAACATGGAGCCAGCAGAACGTGGCCAGACAGAAAGTAAATGAATTGGCCAGGGTCTGAAAGTGAATTTGTGAAGATTAAATCTGATCTGTTGAACAGGAGATCAGTTACACTGTTGAGAAGATGGCAGTGTATTTGAGGGGTACAGGCAGGGGGAGGGGGAATGGAAAAGCAGCTTGCAGAACTATTAAGAAAAAAAAGGTTTTAGAAAGGAAACCTGAAAAAGAAGCAATTTAGAAGACACTGAATTGTAGAAAAAGTCAAAAGAATATCTGGGCAAAGCAGGAAAGAGGAAGAAAGTGCGGTTGGTAGCAATGAGGCAGAGACCTCCGAGAAATGTCTGTAGAACTTGCAGGTAGGGGTCAAGGCAGGTAAAAATTATCATGGTCAGTTTAGGTGTGTTTCAAATTGCTGTTTAGAAACTTAGCTGGAATTGCTGCAGCAGAAGATGCCAGGGATTGTCAGGAGGATAAAAAAGAAGAAGAAACAAGGGTGTCTTTGTTAACTCTCATCAGAAGGACCATAAAGATTTTCCATGAAGGTTTGTTTCCTTATTGGCAGCTGTGATACATGGTATGGATTTTGTTGTGTGCATGGAAAATACCAGACTTGGTTCTTTTTAACAGATTTAAAGCTTTTGCATTCAGCCAGCCATTAGCCCGAATCACAGATGTTTGAAGTGAGGGCCTTTTTAAAAGCAGTATTGCATGAGACTGAAACCATGAATGGTTTAGTTACAACTACATCAAGCATTTCATATAAAGCAATTAGTTAGCTGCCAAGTGCTTTTGAAACTCTCTTCCCTCCCCAGCCCCTCAAGGTTCTATAGGTATTTCTTCCTATGGATCATTTCTTAAAAATAGTACTGATTGATAAACAGATTTTGTGTTGTTTCCAGTAAGCACATTTTTAAGATAAAGACAACAGAAAATTGAGCTGTCTGGCTTGTGAAGTAAGCTCCTAAGCCAAGGCTGTCGAGGTTATCGTACTGGGGTACTAAGAGGATATGGTATGAGATCTGTTACAATAATACACCTTTTGGCTATTGGATATGGTATGAAATCTGTTCTGTTAAAATAATACAGCTATTGGCTTGTAAGCAGTTAGCTTGAGGGTGAGCTTTTGTGTCCTGAAAAGATACAGGGAATCCCATCTAATACTGCACCATATCTAATGTATCTCATTCCATCTGACTCCGAAAGACCTGAAAGGTGAAGTTGCTGGATTCCTGCTGCCATGGTGTAAGATCCCAGACTAGAAAGCAATGCCAGAGTTGAGTGCTTGTCCTAAGAGTATCTTCTGCTGGCAGGAATCTTGAACTGTTCATGGTACCTTGAGGGGTCTTTTCACTTCCATTACTGTGTGTTTTTTTCCCCCCAAAAGTTAGAATTAGGGCTTAACAAGACATTAATTCCTTGAATGATGCTATCCTTTGCTTCTGTATATTTGTCTCATGACTGCTTATTCCTGTCTTTGATAACTAATGCTTGCAGGACCAATACTCTAATGCCACATAAAGCTATACGCCCACTAAGTAAGTCTGAGCATGAATCCGTCATTTCACCTCCTCTTTCTGGGTCTGACTTTTGTTCTCTGGAGGGTTATGGGCTCACTCCATTACAGAGCTAGAGAGCAGGTTATCACGGAGGACATGGAGGTGATCAGGGAGCAAGAGCTTGAATACTAGCATCAGTGATGTGACTGACCCTTTTGATGCTTGGTTAGAACCATAGCATCATTTGGATTTGAAAAGATCCTGTAAGATCACAGAATCCCATGAGGTTAGCAGGCAAGACCTGCCAGATTGCAGGACACTTGGCATGTTTATCTCATTAGAAAGGTGCCAAAGTGCCATTTGATCGGGAACCTGCCAAATTCAGGGTGACATTTTAAAGGAGCTCAGAGTCCCTGTCTGATCTTCCTTCTTAGGCTGGATAATAATCTGCTCAGGTTTTGTGCCATTGATACCTAAGTGTGAAGACTGGGAGCTTACGTGATGCAGAATCATGAGCCTACCAACTTCCCAAATGTGCCCACGTAACCTCTCTGCAGGAGTATGTCTTACAGAGGAGTACTGCAGCTCTTGGCTCTGCTTGTCTCCTGACCATTACCTAGACTCAGAGTTTAAAGTGCACTGCTAACTCAAGCACTTTCTTTTGCATCTGCCACTGGAAGTAGCAAAGCTGGCACGTTTTTCCAATTCCTCTCTACTGCCAGAGCCCTGCACACCTTGGCTAGGACCTGGAGTTCAGCGGTGTCCTGTGTGCTCAGCAGTACAGGTGTAAGGAAGTCACCAGGACTTCTGAGCAGGAAACTTACTTCTGCTCCTGTAAATGACCATATATACTGCTACACATTTTCACAAGACCTACAAGATGTAAGCTATGAAGGGCTTGCTATAATGATATAAAGAAACTTTACTAAAGGCCCAAGAAGATTTACTGAGTTTATGAAGTCTAAGTGTAGTTCAACTCTGAAACCTTAAAGGCTAAACACTCCTAGAGTTTGAATGCTTCTTTGAACCAAATAACAAAGATAAGATTCCCTCATTATTGCTTCTGTTAATTTTGCCAGTCCCCTAATTTCTATTTTTTCCAGCACAAGATTCATTTAATTTCTGTATGGATCCTGATCTGTTTCCTCTTTTTCTTCCTTAGCTTATATTCAGGCATGCCGTGCCTTGATGATTGCCTCCATCCTTTTGGGATTCATAGCTGCAGTACTCTCGCTGCTTGGTTTGAAGTGCACAAAGATTGGGTTGAGCGATGAAGATGGAAAAACAAAGTTTGCTGTCACAGGAGGATTTCTCTTTATTTTAGGAGGTAATAACGAGGCGGAAATGAGAATGATTTCACGTTTTGTATTGCTTTCCCAGTCAAATTAAATGAAACTTTCTTGGTTTAAAGCCGTCAGAGCCATTAAAGGAGTCATTCACCTGTGTGCTTTTTAAACTTTGGTAGGTCTCTGTTCCATGGTGGCTGTTTCCTGGTATGCTGCGATGATTACTGCTCAGTTTTTTGACCCACTGTATGCTGGAACCAAGTAAGCCTTTAGATCTCTCATACCAAACTGCATGATGTGTTACAGATGGCTGCACTAACCTCAACTGCTCCAGTTTCAGAACCTGGATGGATCCCGTTACCCAGTCATGCAGGAGGAAAGATTTGTCTTTGGGGAATCTTTTCACCTCAGAGATGTTGGTGGGGACGGAGGAGAGTTCTCTTCTAGAAAGTTTAATGAATGTGTGGGGAATATCAACCCCACATCTGAGGGGCTTCTGTGCCATTAAGCTCACACTCAGTGCTATGGAGGAGAAAAGTTAAACTCTTCATTTTCTGCAGCATTTAGACCAAAAGAGGTACAGAATTCTAGCTATAGCTAGAATAGAATGCCTCAGATGTACAAGCAACTAAAAAGGCATAGAGAAACCAGCTTGAACTGCATAACAGTGACCTGCAGACAGCTGAGAAACATCCCTGTAATGTGCTGCTTGCCTTGAAGAAATGAAAAATTCACCCTATATTAACAGCTCAACATTTGTTTGCCTCATGAATTAAAATGAGGCAAAATCTGTGAGACTTTTAGCTTGTACAGTTGCACACAAAGAAGTTTCAAGGTATAAAAGCCCTGATTCTTCTCTGATTTAAAAGCTGTTAGAAAACATACAATATAAAAGCTGTCCTGAAAACCAAATGCCTGCTTATGGCACCTTATCTAGGGGCCGTATTTAGCAATGAGGAACAAGGGTAGAGGTGACCTGGCCTCTCCTTCAAAGAGTGGGGAAAAAGGGAAAGGGAAACAATATATTGTGTATGGAACATGAGAAAGCAGGTTTTGGGAAAAGGGGACATTTATCATTTGCCAGGACCTCTACCAAGTATATAATTTTTCAATCAATAAACTATCAATCTTTAGTTGCTAGGATCATATTTGAAGTGTTTTGTAAGCTTCCTACGGAGAACCAGTTCAGGGAAGTCAGAGGTGAAGCGCTTTGTTATGAATCAAAGTACTTTAAGCAATTGCTTTGGATGTTTGTTGGTTTTCCTTGTGTTTTCAAACAAGCACTTACAAAGAAATTGCACTTGTGAATACTTTTTGTTGCTTTATATCCCCTTGAGGGAATTATATGAAGGGTAATAAATACATTAGAGGACTGAAACAACTGTTGATAAGGAATTTCAGTTAGTGGGATAGTTAGTGAGTTTTATAGTTATCTGCTACAGCTTTGGGGCTTCAACATCAATGCATGTTAATCAGTTACCAGGTGGTTTGCATTCAGTAGCTAAAGAAATCTCTTCTTTTCTAGTATCTAAACTTCATGTTTAATGCTATCAATTCACTAAGAGGTTCCTAGTGAATTAACTGTGATAACTGGTAAAGCCAGGCATGCTCTTGAGGAAGTTTGTGCTCCTTGGACTCTGTGAGACAGGTTTAGAATCAGTTGCAGGTCAGTATTGATCTTCACCTTTAAGAGACCAGCAAATCTGTTTTTCCAGATTGCATCTTTTTGTCCTGACTTCAGCAAATCAGTAAAGTTTACCTCTACTGACTCTTCAGGGAATTTCTCATACAGCTGTGAGGGCAACCCAAGTTCTCCAGATCCCTCCAATGTACTCTGCTTTGGTATGAATGACATCTACAGTATTCCTCTCTGTAGGCGGCATGCACTGGTCAACACTCTCTGACTGTTCCTTATTATTCCTCCAGCAACTTGCACTCTTGCATTTTGAGATAATTATTATCTCCTTGCTCCATGTTCGGAGAGTGCCTAAAACAGCGGACACCTTGTGGTTCCAACATGGGATGAGAACACAGAGAACAACGAACCCATGTAAACCTTCCTGTTAGCAATTAATTCTGAGTCAGAAACTTGGACGCTTCTAAATAATGACCTTCTGTTTACAAGTGGAAAAACTCAACACATACCTGGCTTCAGAATACCTTCTACACAGTCTATGACACTTATTTTGCCCTTGTATCAGGTGTCTCACAGGTACAGCCATATTGTGGATATAGTCTTTGTCTGAATATAGAAACTTGTTTTCCTCTTTATGTGAAACTCCTGCCAGATTTGGCCAGGCTCGATTGTGCATAGTCTTTGGGTCAAATTCATCATCAGTGAATTTCTTGGACTGGACCAGGGAGTTTCCTCAAAGGTGCAGTTTTGTACAGTAAAATGGGGAACTATTCCTTTTCAGCTTGGGACTATCCATAAACATATTTCAGCCATATAACCACAGAGAGTGCTAAATATTCTTTAGGATACTAGCAACATACAAATAGCTACTTGTAGGTGATCTAGTTTCGTGTCAATAGAAAACTGATTTCTATGCTTAGCCTTTTCTTATGACACAGACAGTAAGGTCTAAATCATTGACTTTCACAAAATTACTTAAGCAGCACAGCCAATACAAGGGCAAAGTAAGTGTTGTGGACTGCCCAGAAGGTATATTATCATTATTTATTATCAACAATTAATTAAATATGTGCAAGTATTCATTGCTACTTATCTTTGTGTTGCCTAGTACGTCCTGTCGCTAACTTGGCAGAACACTTCTAATACACGTAAGAGTTTGACGGAACACTGACACAAAGCCAGATCCGTCCTCTGATATCTATTGCAGTAACCTTTCAGTTAGCTGCTTTCTATGAGACTAGAACTTGTTTGCATGATTTGCATACTTTATGGCTCAGTCTAAAATAATGGCTTTGTGATCCTATTACATGTTGTTTCCATAAAATCTCTCATGTTTCAGGTATGAACTAGGAGATGCTCTGTACTTAGGCTGGGCTGGATCTGTTCTTTGTATGCTTGGTGGGATCTTACTGACCTGTTCATGCAAAGAGAAGAAAAAACAGGATTACAGGTAATCTGGGATTTGGCAGTTGAAATAGCAGTTGCCAGTTATATACCATTGTCTACTGTATACTACTCTCTCTCTCTCTCTCACTCTGGCTTTCTGTAGCCAGAGAAAGCACAAACAGGAAATTGTACCTATTGTGGTGTTACAGCATGTCACAGACTGGTGATGGAAGGGGGTGCTGTACCAAATACTTGTACCTTCCAGACAGTGTACTTGTGGATGCTTTGCCATCACTGGCCACCTATAACTAGTATTTGGTAAATCTGGGTATTGCTAATGGTTCCAAGATCTACATGATGATGTGCAGTGAAAGAGAGAACTATCTATTGCCAAAAGAAAATGCTATCAAAGAATACAGCATATTAGATCAAGTTTCTGTGTAATACTCACTAGAATTAAAACATTCAAAACCCATTTACCTTCCAGAAAGTGTAATGGCATTTCCTTCCCAAGGGAGATCCAACTTATCATTAGATGCATATGATGTTTTTCTTGTTCCTTATGGAAATGTCTAACAAGACATCAAACAGACAAGTTGAGTACTTCTGGCCTCCAGACCTTGCCTGGATTTATTTTTTTCTCCAGTCTTTAACTATTCACACATAATAATTCACAAAGTCACTTTTTGAAGGACAGGGAGTGAAATTGTCGGAAACAGCAGAGGTCCATGTCTATTCAGAAGAACCCAAATGGCTTGGAGGCTGTACTGGCTAAGCTGGGAAGGATGGTAACATGGAAGGAAGAGAAGCATGCTCCTTGCTACTTAGGAAAAATCTTAGGAAAGTTATGTCAAAACAGATGATAAGTGAGAGTGCTCCTCTGATACTCCATTGCCTAATCTGAAGCCAATTAAGTTTTACAGTAATATTTCGTCAGCCACATTGGACTTTAGATCTCTCTCACCATACAAAGTACCAAATATCCTGAAGTAAAACCGATGAGTGGAATAACAGAAGTTCAACATGACAAATGACAGGTGAAGGGGTTGGCTGAAGAGACTTCTTTTTTCCTTTCTCATCATCTTGATTCCTGTATTAAAAACTGCAGTTTGCACAAAGACATTAAGGTCTAGGTTCTCTTCTGCTTTAGGGACTTGACTAAAATGCCTTGAGTAAGAGCACACGCAAGTTAGGAATCCAGGGTGTGTTTCTCGTTACAAGAGAGATGGCTGTGCTGTCTGTCAAGCAGCTCATCTGTTTTCCCTTAGGTGCAAGACTGATGAGAACAATAGGCCTCTAATTTCTTACCCTTCCTGAAGTATGTGCTGTTGGTGGGTTGGATACACACCTAAATTAGTAACTTCCCAAGTATTTGAAGCTGTGGATGTGTGCGTGATAGCTATTGTTTTGTATCTCTTTCTTCTTAATTCACAGTTTCAACAAATACCCATACTCAGCAGGCCACGCAGCTCCTCACCAGGATGCGTACACCAAAAACTCTGAGACAGTCATAAGCAACAAGGAGTACGTCTAAGCTTACCTTTTACGTCACTTGTAACGTTAGTAGGTTATGACCTCAAAGAAGTGAACTACTTCCAGGGTTCCTGGTTCCAAGTTGCAATCTTTCATCTTAATTTGGAGCAGTACAAAGGAGGAGGTATGGTTTTCAGTGTAAATACGAATGGTTTTCCAGGTGGTTTTCATTGTAAACAGGATTCTACCGAAGATGCTGAGATGTGAAAGGCTGTGGCATGAAGGTTTTCTGCATGCTTAGGAGCCTGATAAAGGTTAACCTCAGCGTTCAGTGTATCCTGACAATCGAGAGCAACTGTTTCTATTTTGGCCCACTCAAAAATGCGAAACTGATATGCTGTAGCTAACTGCAAGTTAATACACCTCACAGTTAGAAATTGATCGGGTTTGCACTAATGTTTAGCTTCCTACTTCTGTTCAGCAGCTTTAGCTTTTGACAGGAAATAAACTTTATTCCACAGATGACTGACTGAAACAGATTTTTTTTTTTTTTTATGAGTGGTACACTATATAAGGATATAATCTATAAACCTGGGCTAGAAGTCTCATCTGAAATTCATACTGACCATATGATGGTCAAGATTTAAAACAGGTACAAAAAAATCCCTAATAACCACTCACCTCCAGGTCTGCAGATGTGCAACAAAGTTCTTGTTGGTTGTGATGCAGATATCAGATATAATACGGATATGATGCGGAACGAACCAGACCCAGCTGGGAGTGCAGAAAGCACCTGGTGCTAAAATGCTTTGCGGTACCTAAGAAGATCATAGGCCCATTTTTCAACTTTTATTTTTATGCTTTCAGCTTTTAAAATAATCTTAAGTCTGAGAATTTCTACTGCATGTGAATTGCCTGCTCAATATAATTTCCCTGCGCCTTTATTCTTCACCATTAGAATTTCTGCTTTAAACCACTCCACTGCTGGGAGTGTGTGTTTGCCTTGTGTAAGCACTCAGGCAGGTGACAATGAGCTCACTTTACTTTGTATTGATGCTTTGAGCAATGGAATTTGACACTGCAGGTTCACAGGTTTCATAACTTGTCTCTTTAAAATTACAGATGTATTAATACAATTCATCAAAATACCTTGGCGTTTCTCTCTGCTTTCACTGACTTGTCCTAAACACAATTGTAGTCTGATTCGGAAGTTTTGTGTGGCCTCCTTGATACCCTAACAGATAATTTCACATGGAAATCTGCATGCAGTCTTAAGCAGAAATGATTTAGCCATGTTGACTGCATGCAGATACAGCTAACTTGTACACTGACACATCAAGGCATGAGTTGGGCACTGACAAATCTTTTAAGCTTAATAAATATGTTAGGATTACTTTTAGATTGCCAGTGTCATCTTCCCCCCACTATCAACTGTTGTTTTTAAAATAACTCCTTTCGTATTCTGGAGAATAATTTCAAAAGCTGAACAGCCATTTAACTGGCATGGTGGGAGCTGCACTCCCCACCATCATCCTCATATTGTCCTATGGACAGTGTATACTGTGAAGTCACTGGGAAGTTTACTTAAAAACCAAGAGTAAAATCCCTATTTGGTGAGAATTAACTCATTCATTCAATATGTTATTGCATTCAGTATCATTCAGGTGAAAATAAATGCTGAAGATACCGTGCCATCGTCTGGTTTGTTTACAGGCCTTCCAACCATTTTCTGTTTCTGCTGTTTCTCCCTGCTTATTCTGCATGCACCTTCAACAGTAATGCTCTGAATGCTTTTAATGAACCATCAGCTCAGTTTGGGGAGGAAGGTGTTTTATGTACAGGTGATATATGAAGCGGTTTTCTTCCTGTTTGTTTAAATCTATTGCAAGCTACTTAATTCTCTTTAAAACTTTTCACATGCTGCTATTTTTAAGCTGTTTGCTCACGTGGTCAGACTGCTTTGGTATCTGCAAATCTTCTTCATATCTCTGCAGCTGAGACCAAAATCCTGCATTGGGTTCTGCTACTGGTCTGGCAGTCTTCACAGTCTAGGAAAGAGGAGAGGCATTGAAGAAGCAAGGGCAGGTAGCGTGTAAATGGATTTTTTTCCTCTAAGGCTCTTGATTTGGCTATAGAATAATAAACAGATATTTTGGAGAGCTGACTTAGATCTCCTGGCATGGGGTCCCTGTGAATGTCTTTCGCAGTGTGGTGACACTACTCATGTGTCAGGATGCTCAATATAGTGTGAAACTTGGTCATGTATCTGCACGCCTCTGTCTAGCAGTGAACAAAACAGTTATCTGCATGAGAGACTCTACTGATGTACCTACCAAATGGGTGTGGACTAAAAGGTAGATTACAGGTCACATGTATTGGACAGGCTTCCTACTGAAGTTGAGATGCTGTCACTATCACTACCTTGTCCCTACCTATTTATGAGGCCTAGCAGATGATGTTTCTTTGCTGTGTTAGCTGTCACGTAAGAGCAAATCCTGCGGAACAACTGCACACTTGCATCCATTTCCCTCATTTTCTTCACATCTCTGTCTTTAACTTTGCTTATCATGACTAAGGAAATGATGGGGAAAAAAGGTTCACAGAACTACCAACTGTCCATATTTGCTTAAAGTCTGTCTGCATTTGTAATTATATTTGTCCCAGAAGCCTCACCTTGAAAGTGTATTTGTCCCAACTGGGGGTGAAAAAACTTAAGAGTGTAAGTTTTATTCAAATGATGAATATCTGCGTTAACTGTCAATAAACAGGTGACAGAACCAAAATAATTCTATGAGACACTATCATTACTTACAGTAAGCACTGCAGTTCTTACCCGAAAGATGGCTAAGTATAAACCTGGTTATTGGTACAATACCTCGAACGCATCCTTGAGCGGGAGCTTTCCGTGTCTCATCAGATAAGCAGTGCAGATAGCAGCGGACCGGCTGCGGCCGTTCTTGCAGTAGACCAGGCACTTCCCACCACTCCTCACAGCCTCTTCTATAGCGTCAGTGCACTGCTCAAAGTACTGGTACAGGTCTTCAGCCGGGTCATCGAACACCGGCACTCGCATGCCCCGGACCTGCGGGAGGCCGGGGAAGGGCTGCTGCCTGGTGACATTAACGCAGAAGGTGACTCCCTCTCGCGTGAGCAGGTCCTCGTTGCAGGCTGCCCGCGCGTTGCTGATGAGCAGCGACGTGGTGACCTGGCTGAGCTGCAGCATCGGCACCCGCCCCAGTTCCCCAACGGCCGCGGATGCACGGCGTTTTGAGTCCTGCACCGGCAGGGATCAGAATGCCCTTCCTCCCCCCCTCCCCGCAATGTGTATGGCTGCGCGGCCCTGAGGAATGCTGGGCTCTGCTATATTTATCTCCACTGCACAGGCTTGGAAATAAAGGCTTCAGGCAGGTCCTAGTGCCTGCTGGATACTGAGAGCTGCATTAAAAAAGCTAAAAACACTCCGAGACAATTGAACAGTTCCTAGCCCTACAGCAGCTTCTTACAAGAAGCTAAGATCCTGTCTTCATAGAATCACAGAATGGTTTGGGTTGGAAGAGACCTTGAAGCTCATCTAATTCCAACCCCCTGCCACAGGCATGGACAGGTTTTACCCCTCTAGCCCGTGTTACTCAAAGCCCCATCCAACCTGGCCTCTTCCTCACATAAAGGCTGCTGCTGGGGTCAGGATTGGTGCAATGATGCAGTATGGCTCAGATCACCTCTAGCTCAGCTCCAGATCATGTAGCAGCCCCTCACCTACAACAAAAGTGTATTTGAGTGCCCAGAAAATGATTTACCAGGCTGGCTAGATACGGTAGTGCTAATCTTGCTGGACTTCAGCTAAACTGCTGGTGCGGTGCCAGGGCACGAGGGTGCTGACATGCGCTGGAGCTGTGCAGCGTGGGTGGGGAGGGGGCAAGGGCCCAGCCAGGGCAGGGCCACATCAATCAGTACCAAGCAGCTGCTGCAGGACTGGTGCTGGTACCAGCCACTTCCTGGTGGATTTAGCACGTGGTTGTGCCTCTTGAACAGTTTTCTGTCTGGCCATGACGCAAAAAAGGAGCTTGTGACCGATACTTGCGCCTGGCACGAAGACGAACCAGGGCATGCACTAACAGGGTTGGTGTGAAACACAGTGCCAGCCAGTAAGGAATCAGCTGGGAGGGACGAGGATGAGCTTCTATTCCGACACAGAGGGCAGGGAAAGTGATGTGCTGCTTACCTGCCATCACTTGTGCCAACAGCCTGCCAGAAAGATGCCAGCCCTGAGATGCCTCCTTAAAGGACCAGGGTGTCCACTCCTGCAGTGTGGTACCACTGCCCATGGGCTTGGTCCTCTGCCCCACTGCTTCCTTGGCACAGCAGCAGCCTGGAGAAAAACTCTGCCAGCCCAGGAGGCACAGTGAGGCTATGGATGTTTAGTAGTTACCTTCCTGCAGCTGACTTGAGGACTTGCAGTCTCAAGCACAGCTCAAGATCAAACATCCCCGACCCAGCCGTCTGCTTTGCTTGCAGGTTAAGACCCTGCCAACACCTGCACAAGTACAAGGCCATGGTAAACAATTAGCACAACACTTCGCAATGATGACTACCAAGGGTGTTTCTGATTCCTCATAATACATGCCATGACTTTTTGCACCTCTCTGTGAGGAAGAGAACATTTAGCATAGCACTTCGGTGACTCAAGTCAGGTTCACCTTGTCTCTGCACACGTAACATCCATATGACCCTAGATTCCCTCCTGTGTTCAGGGCTGACATCAGCCCATTACAAACCTTGTGGCTGAAAGCACAATTTCATTCCTTGGGACTCCTGGCCTTCTTAAAGGGGAAAGAAAACGCCAAATTCAGCTTACATGCAGAAGAAGTAAAACTACCCTGTAAATACAGATGTAAGTCTCCAGCCTTTTTATTTATACTAGGATTCAAAGAACATATTCCAACTTTAGATAAACAGTGCAAGAGTTACAAGTACCTTGGTAACAGAAAGAAATAGATAACTGTCCAGCTATGCCAATAAGTGAAATAATTCTTACTTCCTGCAGATAGAAATGCATCTGCTTAAAGCAAAGGTGGACTTTAGATATTTTGCTATACCTTAGCCTCTACCAAGCCCACCAGAAAACAACAGGCAGCTTGTCATCTGTAAATGATAAGTAGCTGTGCTCTCAAAGCCTTTTGAGACCCTCGCCCTTAGTTTAAACATACACTTTATGGCACAAAAGAGCAGGCTGAAAGACAGAGACACTTGGAAACCCGCTTTTCCTGGTTCTCCCCTTTCCAGGGACAGGGGTCCTCGTTCATATCGTCCCTAGACCACCACCCCCTCCTCATCCCTGTGAAGTATGAGGCCTTTTCTAACTAGGCCACCACGAATCACCACCTTGATAACACTAAAGCAAACGTTCCCTCCCATTCACCCCTGTTCCCCAGAGCTCCTCAGTCACGTAACCAACCCATGGCACCCACCAGCCCCTGCCGTGGCTGCAGCCGTCAGTCAGCACTGCCACAGGGCTGGGAAGCTTTGTCACTACGTTTTCCAGCAGGCAGTGGCCCTGGAAATGTCAGATAGAAGCACTGAAAGGCCCCAGTCTGAGCAAAGGCTCGGGGCTTGACTTCAGCTTGTTGAGCTGTGCTAGCGGTTGCCTAGCCGTCAGGTAACTATGGTTTGCTTTAGGTTTGCTTGAGTTCAGAGCAATACCAAGTCAATACGTGGGAGGACTCAGCTATTTCAGTGCTGTGGCCAAGCACAGCCCTGGGGCCACCGGATCACAGCAGGTCAGGGAAACCACTCCAGGGCAACAAAGAGAACGGTAAAACTGGATAACCAGGAACCTACCCAGGGCAGCGGCACAGGCAGAGCATGTGGAGAAGTTCTGAATAAACCCAAATGGACCCAGGGCCGAGGAGAGGGGAAGCATTAACACCATGTGCCTGCTGTCAAAGATGGGGAAGAGCTCAGGCAATGCCTGCACAGAGATCAGGCTGCTGATGCTGCTCCAACCCCAACTCAGCTCCAGAAGACTGAAGCAGTTGCCCTCAGGACCTGGAGGGACACTGAAGCTGGACCCTGGGCATCAGGGTGTCTTCCTGCATAACAGTTTTTATGGCATTTTTGAGGCTTTGCCTCATTGATCAATTTGGACTATCAGGTTTTATCACTGTAACAGGACTGATAATCTGGCCTATTAAATTGGTGGTTCTGCAGGACTGGTTGTGGGGATTTCTGTAACTGGAGGCTAAATTTATATTGGCAATTCTGGTTAAAAAAAACAAAAGGAAATATAAAATCAGGAATTCTTTAGAGCAGTAAAATTAATGTGGAATGCGCCATGTTTCTAGAAGTAAATAAATCTGCATAAATCCATGACTTGCATCTATCCACTCCTGGGTTCTGATGGGTCTAGTGGTGTTGTCTGGCCTCTAGCCAACATCCGTTATTCTGGCTTTCATTTCTGAAACTCTACCAGATTAGATCAGGCTCAGTCTTACACAGAGGTGAGCACAAGGCAGAAAGGACACCAAGTCAGCAGCATTGGTCACTGTGACCTGGGGAAGCCAGTCAAAGCTGCCCTAAAATCTCTGCTTTGTTAGAGTACCATCAACACCAGCTCAGACCATCAACACGGGGATGACACCTCCCACCTGCACTGGTTTTTGGTGTCAATTTTGCTCATGTTCTCATCTTCCCTTAAATTGCACATTCTAGAAACTGCTAATGTTAAAAATGGGGTTTTGTTCTCCCCCTCCCCCACCCCCCCTTCTTAAAAAACAGCCAAACCCCAACCCCATAATATTTGTTCAGCCCAAAGACACATCTCTTCTGGCAGAACAGGAGAAATGCTCAAACCTTTACTGTGCAGACCAGTAAAGTATTAGATGGACAGGCCTCTGCCTCCCTCTCACCCACGGTACAAGCACATTTGAAACTCAGACCCAAACCCTTATGAATGAAGCCCAACCCCATGGCGTGCTCTTGGCCAAACCAGTCACAGTGACTGCGTTGTATCTATAACATCAGCTAAACCTACACCTCCAGCCAGTGCTTGCTGTACTCGTCAGGTACAGAAGCCTTCTGGAAGCCCCAAAGCACACAGCCCTACAAGCACTGACACTCCTACAGCTACGTGGGGATATTTATATTGTTCACCGACCAGGCCCAGCCTAAAAACCCGTCATGGAGCCCACTCCACCAAGCATTTCAGGGTTAGGGCAGCCACCTGCATGTCCCAAAGGCTGGTGTGTGGTGGGATGGGGTGGCAGGGGGTGAGCCTGGCCCTTTCCTGAGCCAAAATGGAGCTGCCAGAGGGTGTGTGACCCACTGTCCCACCTCATCCCTGCAGTGGCTAGGGAAGATGTGTTGGAGGATGGGGAAAACAGGAATTCACTCAAAAACCTACAATGCAACAGACACCAAAAGAAAAAGAATAACACAAACAAAACGTGTCCCATCCTCACATTCCCTCCCCCAAGTAGGTGCTATCTCAACCTGCACAGGGACACTGCCCAAGGCTCACTGCTACCAGCCCCAGTCTGCAGATTGGGGCTGGTAGCAGTGAGACCTGGGCTGGGGTGTGGTGCGTCACTCAGCTCTCACAACCAGTTGCAATGCTCTGGTTAGTAATAAGTCCCTGTTTTTAATTATTACCAACAAATAAAAGGGATTCCCACCCATGAATGAGGTGGCAGCACAACTGTCTGTCAAGTGGAGAATCCCACTGCTCATATTGTCATCTCTCTGTTACCTACGACGGTACCGCACTGCAGGTAGAAATTGGACCATTATTACTTGGGTAAAAAAATGGCTTTCCAACTAGCATGCAAATTAAAAATACACCAAACCCCAACCCCTAACACTCATTCCCAGTCACTTAGATGTAGGAGACCTATATTTCAAACTGTTGTCTGCTACGAGCTCTAGTCAAGAAACCCCTTTCCAAAGTAAAAAAAGGGAGTTCTGCATTATTGGGTCCACTGCCAAACTGTTTCAGCTCAACCCACCAAACCTGCTCACACTCCTGCGTACGCTGCTGAAAGCAAAGGGCCATCTCTGTCTGCCTAGGAAGCACAGAGGGAAAACCCCACAAGAGCCCCTGAATGCAGCCCTTGAGCAGCGCTGACAAGCTCAGTCTCTCGGCGTTCCCAAGTGGTGCTGCTCCGGGAACTGTCGTGGCTTGGGCAGCTCTATGGCAAGCGGCGCTCCGGCAGTGGCTGGGTGATGAGA